CTAATCGACGTTGCCTTTTGCAGCCTCGGATGCTAAGTCTCTTAGATAGCTTATGTTCTAATCCTCCTATGTGCTTGAAGGATGTAAAGCAGACTTCTTATTGAGGGGCTGCAGACTTGATAAAGACCTCTGCTGGTCTACTTTAATGGCATCGGAAAGAGAACCGGGTAGAGTTCAGGGCAGCTATCTCAGGAAGCCCCTGAGTAAGACTGTGGACAGTGCACACACTATCAAACAGGTAGGCAAACACAAAAGTGATGAAGTCACTTTGTACAATTTAGAAAACCTGTCTCTTTGACTCAAACAAAGTCTTGCAAACATCAAGATTACATTTTTACCCAATGATATGCTGTCATTCACAGAGGGAGGAATTGTTTCCCTTCCTCAGACTTTGAATGATTGATTCAGATATGCACTGGTCAATATGTCATCTGAGAGGCCCAGTTTGAGGGTTTGAGTGCCAAGATTTTCATCATAAAATGAGATCTTTGGAGGCTGTTGTAAAAATATCTCCCATAGACTGAGGAGAGTTGGCAAGAACTAGCGTCCAAAAGCTTGAAGCTTTTGAAGGATGAGCTTCTCTGGAAAGTTTTTTATGAAGCTAAGAGTACTTGGTTTGATTCTTGTTGCCCCCTGCTATGTGAGGGAATAAATTATTGTATACTGAACAAAAATATAAACGCAACATGTAAAGTGTTGGTCCCATGTTTCATGAGCTGAAATAAAATATCCCAGAAATTATCCATACGCACAAAAAGCTAATTTCTCTCACATTTTGTGCACAAATTTGTATAGATCCATGTTAGTGAGCATTTCTCCTTTGCCAAGATAATCCATCCACATGAAAGTGTGGCATATCAAGAAGCTGATTAAACAGTATGATCATTACACAGGTGCACCTTGTGCTGGGGACAATAAAAGGCCACTCTAAAATGTGCAGTTTTGTCACACAACACAATGCCACAGATGTCTCAAATTTTGAGGGAGCGTGCAATTGGTATGTTGCCTGCAAGGATGTCCACCAGAGCTGTTGCCAGATAATTTAATGTTCATTTCTCTACCAAAAGCCGCCTCCAACGTTGTTTTAGAGAAGTTGGCAGTACGTCCAACCGGCCTCACAACCGCAGTCCACGTGTAACCTCACCAGTCCAGGACCTCCACATCCGACTTCTTCACCTGCGGGATGGTCTGAGACCAGCCACCCGGACAGCTGATGAAACTGAGGAGTATTTCTGTCTGTAATAAAGCCCTTTTGTGGGGAAAAACTCATTCTGATTGCCTGGGCCTGGATCCCCAGTGGGTGGCCCTATGCCCATAGATTAGGTCCTAATGAATTTATTTCAAATGACTGATTTCCTTATATGAACTGTAACTCAGTAAAGTCGTTGAAATTGTTGCATGTTGCGTTTATATTTTTGTTCAGTATAGATTTGTAACTAAGCCCCTCATAACATTCACATTTTAGTCATTTAGCAGACGCTCTTATCCAGAGCGTCTGGCCCAACGCTCTTAACCGCTAGGCTACCTGCCACCCTAAGCAGAATGAACTCCAATACAGAAGGTAGAACCGACAATACAACAGAGTTTTCGAGGCCAAATGCATTCTTTATTAGTTTTTCTGTACAAAAAGCACTGGATCACAGAAAGAAACATGCATCTATTTACAGCATGGTCAAAGACAGAAAAGGAGAAGCTGGAGAGATCCCCCATTTGTATTCTAAAGACATGAATTAAACATTGTGCTTTGATATACTTTTATGGTATATTTCATATTTCACAAAGATGCAGTACCTCTCCCCTTTTCACATTGAATTAAACATTGAGAAAGTACACTTTACAATTTAAAAAACCTCTGCTGAAAACCAGGGCAGCAAAAAGCAAGCTTTCTACAAAAACATTTTTTCAAGCTATTTAAAACTCAGTATATGGATGGAATGGATACAGGGAATGGGGGTGAAGGTGAGGATTGTGAGAAGTCAGCCAAGATTTTACTCAAAAAGAAAACTTGTGTTTTCATTGAAAATGGGTTTAAAAGTCCATGATATTGAATTCAGATGTTTTGTGAAGTGTACAAGTGCACTCTAAAAGACAATATATGAGCTGGCCTTCAATCTTGTAATTGAAAAATGGCTTTTAAAAAAGCATAACAGATTTTCCCGTTTTTTTTCACAATTAGGCTCATCATTGATTTGTGACCTATTGTCCACTATCATTATGTTAAACAGGATATGTGGAAATTTGGAGAAGGATGTACCGTCCAACATATCCCAGTTTAAACTACATCCACTGCAGCTCAAATGATGGGCCTGTGTTATTAAATTAATGAAAACCATCAAATGAATGACAACTTTAACTAATTCTTAAACATCTGCAAAAGCATAACTCAAATTAACCACACTTCAATTAGAGTATCAAAATAATGAAAATGCATTGTGTTGGAGCATGATCTATTGTAAGGCATCAATTATGTATTGTGTTCTTTTATGTTTCAAAACCATTCTACTGAAATGTGGAGAGAACTTGCATTACAGTAAATACAAATTGCATAAGTAAATGATAGATTGTGTGCAACGGCAATAACACCACCACAAACAACAACAACACTACCATCAAGGTTCCTTGAGATAGGTGAATCCTACACTTGAGTGGTCCCTCTACAGTTACTGAGGGTTTACTTGGGTTTTTCAACTTCGCAGCTGATTTGTACAGGCATGTGTGTTACATTCATTCTCACCAAAACATAAGGAATAGGCTTGGGTCCAAATAATACGGGAAAAGAGTTGAAATCTAACAAAATAACTTGAATCGTTTTTGAAATAGAGAAATTTGCATGACAATGACCTTTCCATTTCAGCCACAATGACAAAAATGTGAATCCCCCCCAAAATATTGGTTAATATTTGTACTAGCTTTTGCCTTTTGTTTTTTGTTTTTCTTGCTTGCTAAGATGCATTGCTCTTGTAAGTGCCCCAACTAAAATAGTGCATTAAGAAATAACCATGATAATACACATTTCACAATAATACAGAAAAGACAAGAAGAACAGGGGAAAACACAAATGCTGTATACAAAAAAAGTTAAATATAGTATCGGAAAAGCATTTTTATACAAAAGTGGTGGAGCATATATCCTGCTTTGAAAGACAGGGTGACCATGTCATGTTTCGACTTTTTTTGTTCTTACAAAAGGGTTGTTCCTCTCCTTTTTTCAATCTTTTTACAATATCTAAAAGGTTTTAAGACATCAAATGTGTTTACATGTATATTTGAGACTATCATTCCGGCCTAAATCACAAAAGGAATCCCAAAACATACTTTATAAATACATACAAAATAAGCACAATCAGAAGAATAACAAGAAATCTGGTACCTAAATGTGATTAAAACTGCTGCAAGCATTTCTGGTTAAAATCTATTAATCAACACACCCGGAAATATATCTATTGTACTGTGTTTCAAAAATGGTAGACATCCAAAACCTTTGAACCTCACAACCTTGGGCTGCCCTGGCATGACTCTGGTAGTGGGCAAATATTAGTATAACATTTGCTTTTCTCTCCTTGGCAGAATGTTTGCCATTCCTTTCATTAGATTAGAAAATTACTGCATTTCCCTTTAAATATGATAAACACACACATTATTAAACGCGATGGTACACAAACAAAAATGCTATAAGACCATGACATTAGATATCAATGGTCTTTTGAATAGTTTTTTTTATAGACATTGGGGGGAATTCTCATTGAAAGTCCCACCTATTTTGAGTCTGACAATTGACAGAGAGTTTGATATTCCTGGATTCTGCACTTTTTCCATAGTTGACAGTTTTGAACTGTAGGCCTTTCCACATTCCCTGCTCACAGTGGTTATATGACTGAAAATGAACTTGGTTCATTAGAAGATCCAGTCAAATTACTTTTCAGACATGCAAATAAACCTTGTAGGACGCAGGACAATACTCATACCACAAGCAGTAACTACCTGCCTTTCAAAACCACAGTTTATTATTCGCTATATTTTCAGATTAGCTAACCCTTCACACATATCTTTGTGGGAATGTTACCCAATGGGCAAGGAAAGTCCCAAAATGCAAAGCACAGAAGGTGACGGGTAAGCCAACTACTGAACCAACACAAACATACTCTAGTGACATTTTACGGGTTTTTGGTTACTTGAATTTTCTTTGTTGTGTTGTTTGCTTTGTTTCCAGGAGTGAAGGTGCTTCATGGTCCTGTTTTGGAGGTTGATGAGCTTTAAGCTTCTGTTGCAGAGATTCTGTGAGCCAGTGGAAATGTGGTCTGTCTGACAGAAGGTCTTCTTCACATAGGTGGGACTATGAGACCTGCCATGGCTGAAAGACAACAGACACGCTGGTTACCTACAAACGTGGGGAGACGTTTTGTATCCATAACACATTTTGCATCGATAAAACTGTAATATAATGTTGTAAGGATACATATCCCATAGAAAATCATTACACACCCTCTTAAATGAAAAGCCGTGTGTTGAGGTAATTATGATATGCATATGGATTTGCTGCAAAACCTAAGAATGACAAAATTATATTTTTCAAATATAATAACTTTTCCAGTCATGTTACATTGACTAAGGGCTGGATTCAATCTGTATCGCTGAAGTTCAGCGTTATAGTGTGATAGAAATTTAAAGGCAATGTTCCCGCGTTAGCGGAGACAGCATTCACGGTAAACACTACATATGTCGGCTCAATCGTAAATTACCTTTACATTTCGATCGCGCAATCTGTAATGCTTCAGCGATACATATTGGATCGAGCCCTTAGAATCACTCACTCTATGTGAACAAAGATTCTCAGCCAAATGATTTGATTGTGATGATTTTTTTTTTGAAAAGTCACTCAGAGCCAGAAGTTATGGATCAACTTTGACCTTCAATCCACTACTACCTCAGGTCATATCATTTTGTTGTGTGAGTTCTAGCATTACAGGGTATCAATGACACGCCCTTTTCTAACATTGACCCAGGCAGAAGTGGGCGGGACTGAGGGGCGGGATGCTCACCCTGTAGGCTGCTGCCATTGGTGGTGGTGCAGGTGGGGGGCGGGGAGGTCTGTGGCCGCACGACAGGGGCGAAGGCGCTCTTCTGTTTGACTGCAGAGATCATATGGACAGGAGAGAATGAATAAGGGCCTATGGGTCCACCGGAGAACAGAGGGATTGAGGAGGAGGAGGAGTAGGAGGAGGAGGGGGAGGTGGTAGATCCTAACGGAGAAGACAGACAGACAGAGGTTGGTGAGTGAGTGGACTGAGATGAGCTGTACAGTGAGGGCATGCATGGGGGCTGAGGAATGGATGCCTGCCTGAAGAAGGGCCAAGGTCTGGAGTAACATGCTCGGAGTAAGGTGCACAATATTTGCAAGTTGATCCATAACTTGAAGGCCTATTTTAGACTTTGACACAAACAATACCTTGTTCTTGAGGATAGCAGCAACCTCCATCCACGTTCACAAACAAATATATGTATGTGTGCGTGTGTGTGTGTGCATGTGTGTAGAATGTTAATGTATGAAATGCTGACTGTGATAACGAAGCAATTTAATTTAAAGCACAGTGTATTTGATACCTCATTCTCCCCATACTGGCTTGGTTAGTTTCTGTACCTACGAGTTAATGCATCTTTTATCACAATAAATATGAATCCACTAAAGTATGAAACCCTGAAGCAGCTTTTAGCCTCATATCTCACAAATACAGAAATTCAAAATGGACGTCTAAAATGGATGGCAAAATGCAAATTGTAAATATCCCTACATGTAAATTGTTATTTTGTTTTATCTTCATTGAACTATTAACTTATTCTTGCTCTGTAACGTCACAGTTGAGATGTTTTGTTACTAATCCAACTGCATGGGTTTGGCCCACAGCATGAATGATACTATGAGGGTGTTAGTATGTTAGTAGTGTTAAGTAATGAAGGAGATGGAACAAGATATAGGCAAAGAAGATGAAGACTTTTACAATGCATGGTACAGACAGACAAACCCAACCATTCCCTTCAGTAGACAATGCATAACCTTCCACATCAAGTGCCAGACCAATACCCACTTTCAGTTTAGTATCTAGAATTTACAACTACTGGGACACTGGCATTTATTTTGGGAGACTTTGCTCTGTGATGCTGTAGCCTAAACAATAAGCAATTCAAAGAGTCCCAGAGGTTGACAGTTTGAGTTCAGTTGACAGTTTGAGTTCAAGACACCTGTGACCTCAGAGCAGAATCGTGACTCTAAGCATGTTAATTGCACTAGAGTGGTGAAGGAAAGATCAGGGACAGAGAAACTGAAGGGATCTAGCCCTAAGGGAGAGATGAGGAATCCCAATGATGTCATCTATGAGATGTGTGTGAGGAATTCCAATGCAGATCCTACAGCAGGAGTCCTCAACACCAGTCCTCCAGAACGGCAGCGGATGCAGGTATGTTCTGTTTCTTTGCCTCCACTGAATCGATCAATAGTAAACTGATGTCACTTATTTAGTCTGTGAGTCCATACACTTGGTGCCCCAGATCTAAACCAGTCACTGTGTAAACGAAAAGTAAGAGAAGAGCTAGCATACACTGCATCCCTCCTGGACTGAATCAGAGTACTACTGTCCTAATGAAACCGTGTGTTGCTATCCCACCACATATAACTACCCAAATGATCCCCCACATTGGTTTGTTACAGTAATGATCATTGAGACCAAATAAGGCTGTACTTACTTGCGTAGGGGGAGTTGGCAGCGGAGCCGTTGAGGAAGCTGGGTGAGCCTGGCACCCCCAGGTTGGTCATGCCCGCTCCGTAGCCGTTCATGGTGGACGTGATGGTGTTGTAGTTGGACTGCTGGGGCGTGGAGCTGGGGACGTAGCCACGGGGTGATACACTGTTGGAGTTACGGGAGTAACCTGGACGAAAGGAGGAAATGCTATGGTCAATCCAATGTCATCAAAACCGTGCAGTTTGAACAACATCCCATTTGCTTTGACACTTCCGTTGACAATCTCTAAAAGCATGGACCCAATTCCTACTATTCTAATAGTAAGTATTAAGACTTGCATTGCTCTCCTCCAGAACTAAAACCACCCCTCTCCCCTCATTGTTTGAGCACAATTCCCTTTACACTTCAAATCTGAACGAGGGTTAATAAATATTGTGTCAGAAGCGATAAAGCATATGTTCGATTTGGTAAGAGGTGGGCTTTTTAAAATGCAACCGTATTGTAAATGTCCAATGCTCTGCATTGCAGAGTTGAATCGGACACGGTGTAGCTTTTGCGAGGGATTGTCCATGCTGCAACTCCCTCCACCGTTGTTCCTGACATGTGTTTCCCATTGCCTGCACTCTCCCTGATCCCAGGGCAGCGCTCCATCAATTGCTCTCCTGCTGGGAATTGCGTTGGCTCAAACCAGAAAGTAGGAAAGGGAGAGAGAGTGAGAGCGGGGAGGACAAGGAGAGTGAACTCTTAGAATTATTGGTGACTTGAGGAACCCTGGAGATCCTCAAGGAACCCCTGGAGTTCCTCAAGGAACCATTGCTAGTCCATGGTTCATATTTGCACCTTCGGTTAGTTAAGGGATTCTTGGACGAACCTTTAATGGTTCAATGTAACAACGGGTTCCTGGAGGAACCCTGGAGGGGAGGCGTGGCTTAGTAGTTTTTTGGGGGGCCACCCATAGAGTAAATGTCATTCCTGTTAATCTGTTTTGTTGTGTTGTCATCACATGTTAAAGTTGAACACTGACAATTTTGTAGCTTCGATGAGGCTAACACGTGTATGAGTTCCGCAAGAGCCTATGCAAATCCCAAGGTTGGAATAGTTACCACTTTATGTTAATATTATTAATATTATATTAGAATATGTAATATGCATAAATATTCAAGGAACATTTTAATTTGCAGTGTACAAACTTAACATGATGAACAGGAATGACATTTACACTGAAGGGTGACCAAAAATAAATATCTGAAAGCCACGCCTCCAATCTGATAGGCTGCCACCTCTATAATATATTATTAAAAAGGTTCAAAATTGAACCCCTCCCATCACAAAAAGGTTCCGGTTTGAACCTTTACACAGGGGTTCCTCGAAGAACCATTTCAGAGGGGTTCCTCAAGGAACATTCTTCAACTGGAAAGGTTCCGCCGGGGTGGCAACCCAAAAGGTTCCAGGCCCCTTTATTTCTAAGAGTGTGGGAGAAGGAGAGAAGGGGAGAAGGAGAGAGAGGAAGTGTGAGCACACTGTGCTACTTGGCATAGTGTGCCTTTCTCTCTGGTCTCTAACTAAGCCCCCAGGTTAGTACAAGCCCTAGTGCCTCGTGAAGGGGAGAGGGCTATAACGAAGGGAGAACGGGTATTCAATACATCCTAGATGAAGGCCAATCAACATAAGGCTATGGGTGGTATCGGGGGGAGAGGCAACGCCAATCCACTATTGGGGTGAGACATGAAGGACAAGCCTAGGGGGAGCAGTCAGTAACCCTATCCAGCAATCGCTGACTGACGCAATGACGAGGTCAGCCTCTGGAGGTCAATGAGACCGAGACGTGCCACAAGGTAGTATCCCTATTCGCTCCAGAGGAAACTGTCAGCGTAAAGTAAAACAAGTGGAGTGGATGCAAGTTTGAAGACAAACGCCAGAGGAGAAATGATATAATCAATTTTGCTGTTGATCTAAAGCAGATCCATAACGCTGGTCTGGAATTGCTTCAGTAAATTACATTCCTCATGCGTTTGATAAGGCTCGGCATATGATCTGCCCTGTATATTAAGGTTTTAATCATAGTACGTAATTTCTAGGAGCACAAAGAGGCGTTTCATAGTTGTACAACAGTAGGGGGAAATAGTCTGATTCTGGGTTGTAATGTTCCAATGATCATGGACATAAACTATGACATTATGTATTTTCACGATGGCTGCAGTCCTGTTCCCATGACCTCATAGATTCCTGTAGGTGTTCTCTTGTATGTGATGTGAAAAGCAGATGAGGGGAGAGAGGGAGGGATAGAAATAGAGGAACTAGAATGCTGAGGTGTCAGAGGAGAGAAAACAGCTCTAGAGATCTCTCGCATTTCCTCTTTCTATCCATATCCTCGACTCCGACGTGAGCCAATGTGTTCATCACACGTTCAGACATATTTCTTGTGCATCAGTCATAGAGCTGCTTTGTCAAAGGAAACAGCCCTCTCTAGGATAGTATGTGTGTGTGTGTGTGTGTGTGTGTGTGTGTGTGTGTGTGTGTGTGTGTGTGTGTGTGTGTGTGTGTGTGTGTGTGTGTGTGTGTGTGTGTGTGTGTGTGTGTGTGTGTGTGTGTGTGCGTGGTCATGCCTGCGTGGGGGGCTTTGCATTATAATATATGCATAACAACATAATAACATGCTTATGCATTTTTGGAAGTGTATAAATAGTGAATTCACACTCAATGCTGTTAAGAGAGACACACAAACACACACTGCTCCATGAAACCTTGACCAAGCTGCTGTCTGTATTCAGTGGCTAAACTGGTTGTTTTATTCATGCCACATCGTCTGCATTTCTGAACTCATTAGCACCTCCCCTTCTCATACACTCTCCATGAATAGTGACAGGGAGCTGGTGTCACTGTCTGCCACACACACACACACTCACACACCCGCACACACACACACAAACACACACACACACACAAACACACACACACGCTTGGATCTGAGGGAATGTTTCACTGAGTGGATGTATGCACAAAGGGCCAGGCCTGATGTATATGGCTACTAAAAGCAGAGCTGCTGACAGACACTAAAGTATGGCTACAGGATAGCCATGAAGCTTACATTGAGAAGACTAGCAATCATCACATATCTACAGGCAACACCAATACACAGAGAAGGGGTGAGAGGATCAGAGGGAGCAGGGTGAGGATTGTGGGGTGTGGGATCATGGTGGGGGGTTGTAGCACTCACCCTGGTCCCCCTGCGAGGCCTCAGAGATGTTGACGGCCAGCTGGCTGCTGAAGGAGTTGACTCCCATCATGCCGGAGTGGGCGGCCGAGCCACTGAGCGAGGGCAGCTGGTTGTGGCTGCGGGGGACGCTGTACAGGGCCTCGGTCAGGTCTGCTGCCCGCTTCAGAATGATCTCCTGGGGGAGGGAGGGAGAGGGGGAAGGTGGAGAGAGAGTACCATAGGTGATTGTGAGTTTAGGTCATAAAAAAGGTTTTGTAATGTACAGCCTCGGGCAGTGTATTTTTGGTGGGTCACTCAGATTGGATCAGGGTTGAATATTGGAATTTTCACAGATGATAGACTCAAGATAAACAGAACTACTACTTCTGACATTTAGATACTGTACAGATTGTTTTTCCCTGGCTTCCCAGGTCTCTGTGACCTGGCTGTTCTCGAAATATAAACGGAATGTTAATTTAATCTGTGTATAATCAAAGAAAATAAAAGGAACATTTTAAAACTCTGGGAAACTTTGTTACCTCTTAACCAAAATAATCAAATAAGAATATAAATCTGAATGGTCACTTTTTTAATTAAATGTTTTAGCAATGAAAATGGGCTATATGATGACATACCTGGTTATTGTGGGGCATTCCATACAGGGCCTCTACTAAGTCTGCTGATCTCTTTAACAGCACTTCCTGAAATGACATCACATCACATCTTTACTGTTTATTTTATTTCATTAGATTCAAACGTAATATGCTACACAGTTACATGAAAAATTCCACACTTACTAAAACTGGATCCTCTAAATTGTTGATGGTTGATAGTAAAATCTAGGAAAGTAGACTGTAGAAAATAAATGTTTACTGCTTTTATAAACCTACAACTCTAAACCTAAAACATGATCTGAGCGATAATACAATCTTCAATGTTTTGGTGTAAATCATTATGAAAACTACAAATTGCTTGCTGCAAGTGTCAGACCTTGGTGATGGGAGTTGGGGTGGTAAAACAAGGAAAACATGCAAATGTAATCATTGTTTTACAGAGTACAAGTCAGAGATGAGCTTTAACGGCAAGGCCTACGTGTGATAAACAACCCTAAGTAAGCAGCTGTCTGCATCACATCACACAGCCATGCAATCTCCATAGACAAATATTGACAGTAGAATGGCCTTACTGAAGAGCTCAGTGACTTTCAACGTGGCACTGTCATAGGATGCCACCTTTCCAACAAGTCAGTTCGTCAAATTTCTGCCCTGCTAAAGCTGCCCCGGTCAGCTGTATGTGCTGTTATTGTGAAGTGGAAACGTCTAGGAGCAACAATGGCTCAGCCACAAAGTGGTAGTCCACACAAGCTCACAGAACGGGACCGCCGAGTGCTGAAGCGCGTAAAAATCGTCTGTCCTCGGTTGCAACACTCACTACCGAGTTCCAAACTGCCTTTGGAAGCAACGTCAGCACAAGAACTGTTTGTCGGGAGCGTCATGAAATTGGTTTCCATGGCCGAGCAGCCACACACAAGCCTAAGATCACCATGCGCAATGCCAAGCGTCGGCTGGAGTGGTGTAAAGCTCGCCGCCATTGGACTTTGGAGGAGTGGAAACGCGTTCTCTGGAGTGATGAATCACACTTCACTTCATCTGGCAGTCCGACTGACAAATCTGGATTTGGCGGATGCCAGGAGAACACTACCTGCTCGAATGCATAGTGCCAACTGTAAAGTTTGGTGGAGGAGGAATAATGGTCTGGGGCTGTTTTTCATGTTTCGGTCTAGTGAACTACAGCATACAATGACATTCTAGATGATTCTGTGCTTCCAGCTTTGTGGCAACTGTTTAGGGAAGGCCCTTTCCTGTTTCAGCATGACAATGCCCCTGTGCACAAAGCGAGGTCCATGCAGAAATGGTTTGTCGAGATCGGTGTGGAAGAACTTGACTGACCTGCAGAGAGCCCTGACCTCAACCCCATGGAACATCTTTGGGATTAATTGGAACACCGACTGCGAGCCAGGCCTAATCGCCCAACATCAGTGCCCGACCTCACTAATGATATTTTGGCTGAATGGAAGCAAGTCCCCGCAGCAATGTTCCAACATCTAGTGGAAAGCCTTTCCAGAAGAGTGGAGGCTGTTATAGCAGCAAAGGGGGGACCAGCTCCATATTAATGCACATGATTTTGGAATTAGATTTTTGACGAGCAGGTGTCCACATTCTTTTGGACATGTAGTGTACTAACACACACTTACACGCACTCCCAGTCAGACATCTTGTATTGAGCCCCACCACTCCCTTCTTGAGCTCTCATGTCTCTGCTTGTAGGGGGTGGCCTTTTTGTTACAGCACTTAGCTTGTCACAGCACTACACAATAGCAAACTGTCATGATCAGAGGGCATCTTTACCAGCCTCTAATCAAAATGGCTGCCAATGCACCCTGGAGGGAGAGGGGGAGGAGAGAGGGAGCAGCCTGAGGTGGTGGGTACCTATTAACACTTTCAAACTGCCTTCTGTGTTTCCGATCCGCCACTTCAGACCCAGGCTTATTAGAGCCACATTGCATGTGATTGTTGAATTTCCCTGCCTAATTCACCCCCCCCCCCCCCCTCCATTGCCCCTAGGCTGTTTTCCCACCCAGAGGAGGAAGCGTCCAATCTCTCCCCAGCAGCCCAGTGGTTCGCCGTGGCAATGGCTCTTAATAACAATAACAGGCCTGATAGATAGGGACGAGACGTCACAACACGACACAACACGAGAGCGGAAAGGAGATGTGACGTAAGGAGGACAGAGAAGAGGAGTGAGTGAGGTGGGGAGAGCTGGGTTGGCTGATGTTTCCAGGGCTCTGGGGATGAGAGCTGGTGTTGTGGGAGCCTCTGCTGGAGGTCTCCGGGGTATTACAATGAGGAGGGGCCTCTGTCTGCCTGTCTGGAGCCTGATTGGTTCCTGCAACACATCTAGCCTTTTCCTTGTGTAAAAAAAAAAACAGCTTAACTTGACTTGTCCGAAACGCTGTCAAAGGAAATGTGCAGTGCTGTGGTGAACATGTGTCCGGGAATAATGTTTTTTCTTATCGTTTAATCATTTAACTATTCCCTCACTGTTGGCCCTGTGTCAAGTGTTTGACAGGGAAAGAGTGCATGAGGATGCTCTTCTCCCTTTCTGTCCCCCATTTCCCACGACAAAATATGACCTCAGCAAAAAGGATCCAAGTAAGGTCGAAACAGTCTGAGGAATTACCATCTGCCCAGGTGGGCAGGCCTGCGTACTGACGTGAGTTACAGAGTGAGGAAGGGGTGTGTGAGTTTTTGTTAACTTCATGGATTCTCTTCTGTTTTATGAATATACTGGTTGATTTATTTTTACTATGTACACACATTTTAAATAAAGAGCATGCGTGTGTGTTTGTGTGTGTTTGTGTGTGCGTGTTCATATGTGTGCCTGTGTGTGAGCGTGTACATTAGCAGAGTTTCACATCTCTATCTGAGATCCCCCATGCCAGTGTGCCCTTCCTCTGTGCCTCTCCTTAGTGAGCATGCCCACTCACCTGCCTACCCCAACACTCCTACTGACCCCACAGCTATCCTGCAGGCACACAGTCACACAGACACACACACACCGCCACCCCCACAGCAACCAAGCAATACAGCTCTCGTTTCAGCTCCTGTCAATCTCCACCCCACCCCCAGATCTACGCCTGAACCCCGTCACCCGTCCCTATCCACTGAGAGAGGGCACAATCTGTCACACCTTGGCACTGCCAAACGCTATACCCCTGTGAGGAGTGTATCTCGGACCCCTCCTCTCCTCCTCTCCTCCTCTCTCCTCTTATCGTCTCTCCTCTCCTCTCCCCCTCTGGCATGTACTCGCTTCATTAATCTCCATTATAAAACAGAAGTTAGTTAATGTCTCTGAGGCTTGGCGGTTGCAACACCCTGCCTGCCACAGGGAACTTTGGCAACCCCCTCCCGCCCCAGATGCCTCAAACCCACAAACATAGACACATACACACACATTCCTGCCTCTACACACTGGTGTGTGTGTGTGTGTTTGCCACAGTCGGTCTCTCCTTGTATTTTCATTAGGCAGTGACAGACACAACAGCCTTCTCAAGGTAACAACGCCTTCGAGGCCTCGTTGGTGCTACTCTGCTTCGTTTTGCGTGTGTTTGTGTGTGTGTGCGTGTGTGCATGTGCGCGTGTGTGCGTGTGTGTGTGTGTGTGCGTTCAATTGTTTGAAGTGTGCGGGCAGTTTCTAAGAACAACCCCGTAAATAACCCCAATCTCGAAAACAAATGCAAAGAAAATACTCCTTGGAGTACATTCTCCAGAGTATTATAGCAGAATAAATGAAGCACTTCGTTATGTACAGAAATTCCTCAGCTCACTAATCTACCATGGATTTAGCTAATTATCTCCAGACAATAACAACAATTAGATAACCAACTAAGAACAGGCCGTCTGTTCTGAGAACCTTTAGATAACCAACTAAGAACAGGCCGTCTGTTCTGAGAACCTTTAGATAACCAACTAAGAACCACCCATCTGTTCTGAGAACCTTTAGATAACCAACTAAGAACAAGCCGTCTGTTCTGAGAACCTTTAGATAACCAACTAAGAACAGGCCGTCTGTTCTGAGAACCTTTAGATAACCAACTAAGAACAAGCCGTCTGTTCTGAGAACCTTTAGATAACCAACTAAGAACAGGCCATCTGTTCTGAGAACCTCATTTCATTTCATGTTACTTGACTTGGACCATTGAAAATACATCACAGCACTTTGTGACATAACAGTGAGGGTTATCTATGCCTGGGCCTTGTGGTCCTGTAGCTGTTGGGGTGGGGGTGGGAGGCATGTGTGTGTGGAGGTGAGAGATGGCCGTTGCACTGCCTTGAACCACACACACACACATATCCACATTCACACTCATAAACCCCCCCTCCCTTACACACACATACATCCCACCCTCCCATCACCCATACACCCATATACCCACACATGAACACACACCCCTCCCTATAGCGACGAGGAGAGACAGCGCCATTGGATTCCTGTCAGCGCAAGTGCCGGCAATCAGAGCACGGGTGCTTTAACGCCGCTGAAAGCTCTGCCCCAATCAATACGGTAATGCACTGCCTCCCAGTTATCATCATAATCTCTTATCACTGGCCCACACCTCTGAGGGGAGAGGGGAGAGAGGGGGGATGGAGGGAGGGATGGATGGAGGGATAGAGGGATGGATGGATAGAAGCAGCGTGATGGCTCATTCAATAATCACCTCAGCCAATGATCTGAAGGATTCGGCAGATGAAGATACTATGGAAGTGTCCATTGTGTGTAAAATGCTGGTTTAGTGCTAGTATAAAGTGTAAGTGTCACTTGAATGAAATATAACGGTAATATCTTGATTCTTGAAGTTACCCATTTGCAATATGAATAAACATCAAACATGGAATATGCAAGGGTTGAAAGATTCACTGAAAGTGAAAATTGCTTGATAAATTCACTAAATACTCTAGGATACTAAAGTAATAAAGCAATAACAAATGGACATAGACTGAAATCTAACTATGGAGGAGTAATGTACAGACAGAGTACATGCAGCCTGCCTATAATGGTATACTTTCAGCATACAGAACAACTGTCCCGGGTCTTATTAGCTTTCAGTGTGTGTAGTGGCAGTGCAGACCGCAGGCACACTAAAAGTCATTGTGTGTCCTCTATTAATAAGGGGCTATGCTCTCCCTGTACTGCTCAGCACATTCCCTAGCTACGACACTCTAGGACGCCCCGACAGCCTTTACACGCTACATACAAACACTACACACATAAACACACAGAACGCATACACACACATGCATGCAAGCATACATACACACATTAGCATGCAAGCACTTTGCCCACACACACACACACAGAGAGAGAGAGAGAGAGAGAGAGAGAGAGAGAGAGAGAGAGAGAGAGAGAGAGAGCGAGAGAGAGAGAGAGAGAGAGAGAGAGAGAGAGAGAGAGAGAGAGAGAGAGAGAGAGAGAGCACCTAAACACCATGAAGGGGGAAGGAGAAGGGACTTGGCGGAGGACAGGACGGATGGAAAGGAGCATCCTCTCCTCCATCCTCAACGGGTCAAGTGCCAGTAAGGGATGAGAAGTTGACCCTACAAGGGACTCCCTCCCTATGTGTGAGTAGGAATAGTCTGTTCCCAGCCTCTATCCTGGAAACCTCTACACTGATGACTTTAAAGCCCTTTCTACCATACACCGGGGGGAAAAACAGGTTTTAGCTAGTGTATGTCTCTCTTTTATTACTTCAGACAGAAGGGGAAATCATTTCATCCACCATGCTCCATGCTCTCATCTGTATCCAGGCCAAGAGGGGAAGGCACATACAGTATTCTGGAGCGACAGACCACACATCTAGCGAGTGAACGTCTCTTTAGGGTACTTCAGAGCTCCAGGTGGAATAACTCACAAGAAGAACGATATGAAAGAGTAGGAATGATAGAATACCTCTATCCTGAACTGACTGGGGTCATCTTCAAGTCAGGTCGATTGAGGAAATGAATTCCAATTTGATTCATGTGTTTGAAAATGGCCATCATTTTCGTTGGGGATTTTTTTCTCCCCAATTCATGAGTTGAATTTCCGAATCTATAAATTGAATTACAATTCATAACCTATCGACTGGAAACCCAGCCTATGTCCCTTCCTCTCAGTGCTCCTTTTAATGTGCAGTACTATATAACATTTTAGCGACAATACAAAATAGTATTTATCTCAAGGAATTGTATCTCTTTACTATTACAGAAAGATATTAATAAGTGCTATTTTCATGTGGAAATGTTATAGAATGTGCCTTTATCATACTACATGTAGTTGAACTGCATCCTCCTTATCAAACACTGGACTGAACATGACAAAATCTCTCCCCGTAACTCTTCTACCCATCTCACCTAACCCAACCCCCCTGAGCCCCAGCCCCTGCCCCTGGCCACCAACGCCCCAGTCCTCCTTGCGTCTGTCTCCAGACATATTCCATCTTTTTTCCCTATTTTCTTCCATTGCTTTCCAGGAGCTCAATTATGGGAGGATGGCTCCCTGGTTCGCGAGGTTCCCAGAGAGAAGGGATCAGCTGACCCGGGAGAAGAAGCCTTCCGACAGGTCCCTTAACAATGATAAATCACTCCTAGCCTGGCTCTGCACAGCCGCCCCGTAGTCACCTAGCTACAACACAAAGGGAGTGAAAACTGTACCTCTAGCTACTGCTACCACCCTATGCCACTGATCTCTTCAGTATATAATCTACACTGAACAAAAATATAAACGCAACATGCAACAATCTTAAAGATTTTACTGAGTTACAGTTCATATAAGGAAATCAGTCAATTGAAATGAATTCATTAGGCCCTAATCTATGGATTTCACATGACTGGGCAGGGGTAAACCCCCCCCCCCCCCCCCACCCCCCCAAATGATCCCACAGGTGATGAAGCAGGATGTAGAGGTCCTGTGCTGGCGTAGTTACACGTAGTCTGCGGTTGGATGTACTGCCAAATTCTCTAAAACTACGTTGGAGGCAGCTTATGGTAGAGCAATTAACATTAAATTCTCTGGCAACAGCTCTGGTGGACATTCCTGCAGTCAGCATGGCAATTGCAAAACTTGAGATCTGTTGCATTGTGCTGTGTGACAAAACTGCACATTTTAAAGTGGCCTTTTATTGTGCACCTGTGTAATGATCAAGCTGTTTAATCAGCTTCTTGATATGCCACACCTGTCAGGCGGATGGATTGTCTTGGCAAAGGAGAAATGCTCACTAACAGGAATGTAAAAAAATGTGTGCACAAAATTTTAGAGAAATAAGCTTTTTGTGCATCATGAACATTTCTGGGAATTTTTTTTTTTAGCTCATGAAACATGGGACCAACACTTTTGTTGTTGCGTTTCTATTTTTGTTCAGTGTAGATTAGGGGCGCAAACTAACAGCACAGGTCCTGGACTAGCTATAGGGAGTGCAGGATTTTGTTACAGCCCAGCACTAACATTGCATTGAATAGAATTGCCCCTTAACCCTGGCAGTTGATTCAAATGTAATGGCCAAACAGGTGGTAAACACATCTAGTCTCAGATATCATATAAGGCCAGAACATGCTTTTTCAGCCGTTAACACATTTTGGCCGACAAGACAGCAAACTCTTCACCTCGGTCAGCTTTTTAGCTCAGTCTCCATTTGTTTGTCTGCTCTGTATCAAAACAGGCCTCCCGTATGGCCGTATCTTAGGAAAATAGGCCCTCCACATGTAAGGAACGCATCACCATCCAGGTGTCTATTTAAGAGGATTCATAGGCCGTTAAACTTGCCGTGACCTGGGAATGGGTCTTCTACCGCAAAGATCCTGGAACGGAGCGCCGCTCGCAAATATGCTGCTGCCTCCCATGCTGAGCAATAAGGAGAGGCTAGAGCTTAAACCACATATCCTCCATAGATCTGGACTGGGAAGTGTCCGCTTGCAGCCAAGGCAGACTGGAAATGAAATTAGAGGCGAACTGATCCAGTCCCAGCCTCTGAGGTCATCAGTGACCAGTTGGCCATGCTTTAGCCCTGGTCTGGTCTGTCTGTCCATCACTGAGGGTTCCAGCTCACTGAGGCTAGGGTTCCAGCTCACTGAGGCTAGGGTTCCAGCTCTGAGACCGACTCGTTGGAGATGTGTGGCTGCCAACCTCCTAATCTAATCACTCAAATGGGGTTTCTCAGCTACAAAGGAAAACACCAAAAACCAACAGGCAGTGTTTTCCCCTATCATTATTTACATGGAATCCCCATTATTCCCACCCTTCAAGAATTGCTCTGTTGCTTCCTGCTTAAAACATTACTTCAATTTGACTTCAATTGGTTCCAATAACAGGTTTTGGTGCCTATAGCCTCTGACTGTAGCTTGGGGTTGCTTTGCTCCCTGCCTAAGAGATTCTACTAACGGTCCTGGCCAACCTTTCTGTCCTACAAGAAAAGCAAAGGAGAGAGGATAACAAAGGGATGAAAGGTCAGCGTTACTGTTCAGAGTGACCGTGTGAGTCTGTCCTGACAAGCCACATTGGGTGAGAGCAATGAGGTACTTCACGAATGGCAAGCTTTTACGTGTTAGTCTTGTTGTTATTTCCTTCTATCTAAAATGTCGGGAAAGCTCGCGGCTGAAGAGAAGACGGAGGAAAATCTATATGCTTATTGAGTTTTCTTTTGAATAAATAAATATATAACGGCTGATAGGGACATTCTCCCTCCGCCACAAATCAGGGCATCAAAGGGGCCAGACAATGTATGCTCACTAATAGTATCAATTTACAAATAAACTGCTTTTTTGGTGACTGGATCTCAGATGTCAGATTTTGATAAATGGTTTCAATTTGGCAGCTGCTTTAGACTGTCAGGCCCCATCTGATCGTATCCCTCTTTACAGCAGTTCCCTGCCCAAAACAATCTCACTCATTTAATGGTGCACCTTTTTAGGGGGGAAATAATATTTTCGTACTAACCAGGCGGCAAACCGCCCAGGGCACTTGACGGCTGCCTGTGTTCTTGACCCTGCATAATGTGTGCGTGCTTGCGTGCGTCTACACTGAGTGTACAAAACATTAGGAACACCTTCCTAATATTGCCCTCAGAACAGACTGAATTTGTCAGGGCATGGACTACAAGGTGTTGAAAGCGTTCCACAGGGATGCTGGCCCATGTTAACTACAATTCATCCCAGAGTTGTGTCAAGTTGACTGGATGTCCTTTGGGTGGTGGCCCATTCTTGATAAACACGGGAAACTATTTTTAGCGTGAAAAAACCCAGCAGCGTTGCAGTACTTGACACAAACTGGTGCACCTGGCACCTACTACCATACCCCGTTCAAAGGCACTTAAATGTTTTGTCTTGCCCATTCACCCTCTGAATGGCACACATACACAATCCATGTCTCAATTGTCTCAAGGCTTAAAAATCCTTCTTCAACCTGTCTCCTCCCCTTCATCTACACTGATTGAAGTGGATTTAACAGGTGACATCAATAAGGGATCATAGCTTTCACCTGGATTCACCTGGTCAGTCTATGTCATGTTTTGTAAACTCTGTCTATGTGTGTCTACATGTGTGCATGGAATGCGGATATATTTGTATAAGCAGTGACTTTGCATATGCATGTTTGTTGCTTCCTCAAACCTAAAAATAACCAGACCAGAAACACTGCCTCAAACTCTACAACACCAATACAACATCCCATAAACACCTGTTTCCAATTGTACAAGTTATCAGAACAATATGCCCCTTGGCATCGGACTGTGTTCTTAAGGCCAGGTCCATATTGAGTGGAACAAATTAATCCAATCTAACAAATCTGGTTTGCCCTCTATAAACTCAGATATTTGGCAGTCTGAAGTCAATATAGTCTGGGTGGTCTTTGGAGTAACAACAGGGGATGCTGTACTCCTTGGTGTCCTATGAGGCGTGTCACTGACCTTAGGTAACCTCTCGGGATCTCCTGGGTGTCTGGGGATGACCTTCTGTAGCCTCTGGAAGCCGTAGTCGATGGTAGGCTCATTCAAGGCTGGAAAGAGAGAGAATGATCATGGTTAGAACATTGCTGAGTGATATCTCTACAAACAAGGTGAAGCGGCTCAAACATGCATTGCCTTCTATAGCTTCCAATGGCACATTCGCATTGTGTATGCCTATGTCGACCTTCTGTATGCCTTATGATGGCCTTATGAAGGCATTATGTCACATTCTAGAGTAGCATATCTCCGCTGCCTGCCTGGCTGTCCTGCCCTGATACAGGAGCTCTACAATGGCCTTGAGAGTATCAGCCCAGTGTCAGCCCATCTCGTCCTCCACCGGCATGTCTCTCTCTTTCTTCTAATGCTGTTTGTTAAGCGTGAGACCTTCCACTCAACCTGTCCCAGTCACTATCCCTTTCACAGAGCATTCCTCACTAATTCAATTGCACCTCCCTCACTCTAAACCCCTCACATACCCCCCTTTTTATTTCATTACCCCCCCCCCCCCCCCCCAAACAGCACAATCTCCATTCCTCTCCGTTTCGATATCAAGGGGAAAAGAGAAACATCCAGAAACGACTTAGGGAGATATTTCTCCATAATCAAGCCCATTAATCATAAAAGGCTGTCAAATATGACTTTGGGGACAATTTGTCAGCCTTCTTGCCCTGTAAGGATGATTGACACACCAAATGTCGGTAAGTAGAATAGCTAGTTTGCGCTAATATGCATAACCGGCGCTTTCATGAATAAGAATAAGGTGGCAGCGGCAGCGCAGGGTCTTTTCAAAGGCCCGCTGCTGTTTCTCGCGAGCGGCAAATAGATGTTATTACCATTATAACAATATTTGTTTTCTTTCCCCGTGAATGGGCACCCGCAAGCTGCTAAATCAAATTTGTCAGAGTCCCGTTTCACACCAAGGAAAGGAGAAAAGGGCTTTCAGGCTAGGGCTGGGTGGGGATGTTATCTGAAGGGTGACAGAGCCTACACGTTCCCTCTCCACACAGGCTGCCATTTTGAATCTCTGCCCCTGGCCCCTGAGAGGCCTGCGATGGATTACTCTCTCATGGACAATTCCTCCCTTGTTGGGATGAAGCGGGGATAGTCTACTTTGAAACCAAACAGATGTCTTTGGATAATAAGGTATTCCTAAGGCCTTGTCAGAGCACTAGGGATGAGTATTGGGAAAGGGAATTTCAACACAACCAGGGAGAATTCTAAAAACAGCCATCTACCAAGAGAGTATGACAAGTGAGAGAACAAGTGAACGAGAGACAAAGCAAGAGAAAAGGTACAGACACACAGAGAGTGTGAGAGAGAGAGAGAGAGAGAGAGAGAGAGAGAGAGAGAGAGAGAGAGAGAGAGAGAGAGAGAGAGAGAGAGAAGCAGAAAGAGAATCTCATAAAGCTTGTCTCCTAATGAACCTCTCGCCAGGGAGACTGGAGGGTAGGTCCCATGTAGCTCAGTTGGTAGAGCATGGCGCTTGCAACGGCAGGGTTGTGGGTTCGATTCCCACGGGGGGCCAGTATGAAAAAAATAAAAAAATTATGCACTCACTAACTGTAAGTCGTTCTGGATAAGAGCGTCTGCTAAATGACTGTAATGTAGTGGAGCAGATGTCTCTCCCTCTACTGCCAGGCCCCCCAGAAATTAAGACCATTACTTCCCCTTATTAAAATCCCATAGCACTTTGACCCCAGCACCCCATTGGCTGCCTGCAGGCCCCTGTCCTCTCAGCCAATCGATACGGCTGCCTCCTCGCAAAGAGCCTGAGTAATTGGAGAGTGCCGGCGCGCTGCGCGAACCCTGACCCCCTACGCAATACACAGCCCATATGAAGATAGATTGCCTGATTTAGTGTAAACAAATGCTGCAATTCCAGCCATCAGTGGCACTTTCTCCATCGTAATTTGTATCTATTTTTTTTTTCGGGGGCCCAGCCATCTTCGTGTCTTTGCGGTGTCTGACGTTTGAATTTTTTAAAAGGGTAAAGATAATGCAGTTCGGTGGGAAGAGGAGGCGAAAATATGAGTGAGGGAGAGAGAGGGAGAAAGAGAGAGAGAGGGGGCGGCGAGGTATCATTTTTTATTTATTTAATCATCCAATTATTGCCCTTTATTTCTCTCTCTCTCTCTCCATGAAAGTGATCAAACAGTCGACTGGGGTCTCACTAAACAGAGCGTTGTTATTAGGTGACCACTCGACTGCGACAAAAGGGAGGGAGAGGGTGAATGGGATTTCCACTAACACACTCAACCAAGCCTGAGAGGAGAGGTAGTGAAACATGATCCCAGATCACACAACAGCACTAGGTAGATAGCACTAGGTAGATAGCACTAGGTACATAGTGCTGGTGACAGCAGAACACTATACAAGTAAGACAGACGTTTTTGCGTTAAGGAGAATAATCTAGTCCAAATTGGAGGCTTTTAAATCAGCAGTTGCAACATACATTTTGGATTTATGAATTAATGACGTGTAAGCATTGATTCTTGAAGAATAAAACGTATAAATGCCTCATGAACTTAGTTCAACTGTGATACCCCATCAGAATCCAAAATATGAGCTTGTTTTACGGCATTAAAACATGGTGAAAACTATAATTTAATATCATGGATGGTCAGTCCTTGCATCCATAGCTCTGTCAGAGTGATTACATTTCTCCAGCCTTCAGCTTTTTACCAAACCAGGGGTGGGGAGGCAGCTTTGTTGTTGTTTCTACTGCTGATTGACACTTTAAAGTCAGATAAACCATCTATCTGAAATATTCATTAAGCATGATAATGTTCATTTGATCATCACCTTAAGTGTCATGTCTTCTACCTTAATACTCTGATATTGTTCTGACTCAATGGAGGCTACTGAGGGGAGGACGGCTCATAATAATGTCTGGAACAGAGCAAATGGAATGGTATCAAACAGATAGAAACGATGTGTTTGATGTATTTGATACCATTCCACTAATTCCGCTCCAGCCATTACCACGAGCCCGTCCTCCCCAATTAAGGTGCCACCAACCTCCTGTGTTCTGACTTAATTAAATGCAAAACGCCACTTTTGTTGGTTGGGAGATATTGTTGCAAGTCGCAAAGTCTATATTTTGTACAAAAAACAAAAAACATTTCATCTTACAAGTGTAATACATCATTTTTCAACCCATGTGAAAAACCTCCACATGTCGAGGCAGATGTCCTAACCTATTTCTAGAGGTTTAGGAGGAGGCTACCTAAAGCTCCCTCCAAATCAATTCCCATGTTGCTCTCTGTCTTATTTCAAACAGCTCTGCCTTCCAAAGGACCCAAATGACTTCAGTTAGCAGGAACAAAGGTTAAGTCAGAGTTAGAACAGTGTACCTCTACAAGGTCAACGTGATCAGAAGAGACGCTCACCTGCACCCCTGAACCTAACTTAAATGGAAAACATAGTAGAGTTAAGCTGGGCCAATATTCTAAAATTGCTTCCTTTCCTTTGTTGCTACTTGGGGTATTGAATAGGTGTTCAACTACAGGACTTTCACAAATCAAGTCCTTTCAGATTGGTGGTCCAGAATAGGAAGCTAGTTAATATTATTGGAACGTAGCCATAGTCTCACTGCTCTTTTACAATCAGTCTCACGGGTGGTAGGGACTAAGGCTCCCAAGCTTTAAAACGTTTGCATGCTCAAGTGGTGCCTTGGCAGAATATATATACATTCATTCAGCATATGCTTACATCCTCATTCTCCAACGTGTTCACATCTATTTATATGTTGAGCTATTTTATATTTACTTTTCCCACCGCCGCTGCCCTTCCAACCACTTAGGTGGCTTCTGCTGTTCTACTTGGCTGCTTCTACTATCCTCCTCCACCACACTCAACACATATGCTCTCTGTGGATTTTCCTACATTGCACTTACCATTTCAAATTCCATATGAAATATACCATCAAGGCCCAAGCCCATCTCCAACACCTGACTGACAGAACAGGGGATACGGGGGATTTGGAGTGGCTTGCATCCCAGAGCAGCATGGGCTTCATCTTTATTCATGTTATGATTGACGCAGGTCATCGCTGTGTCTACAGATGTGTGTATCAGATCATTTCCTCCCTTTCTTCTGGGGAAAGGAATTGTCAGACGCACAACAGTGTGAGCCGTAAGCAGAAGGACTGATCTGAGTCTGCTATGTGTAGCCTGCTGGGGGTTGTGTAGCCTGCTGGGGGTTGTGGAGCACCGACCTGTTGACAAGCATCTAAAGCCCCCTGTTATACATGTGCACTATGCTATTGATTTACTCCTTTCATTTGTCCCTCATTCAAAATAAGATGAAATCGTGACACACATACATGCAAACGTACAAAACATCCACTCTGACTTGGTATATGATATTCTGTGTCACCAAACATTTATCCATCACTGTACATACAGTACAACAAACTCAATACATAGACCTACAGTATGTGTAACCACACACACACCATTCCCCCCCAACACACACACACACACATGCACACACCCCTTCACAGTGAAAGCATAGAAATGAGAAATTCAAAGCAAGAGGCTTGATCAATCACCCGGGCCCGCCACTCCAACACTCCAACCTCTCCCACCTTGCGATCGATGCTCATAGAAGTTTTATGAACTTTTAACTGTGATTGACAGACAGACAGACGGGCCCCAGACAGACATGGCATACTGGCCTCTTTACAGTGGAGAGCCACCAGGGAAGATGAAGGGGCCTCTTCCCGCCTGTTCCCTCACCAAACACACACTTTTAATTAAGACTAAAACATTTTGGCGTTATGGCAACAATTAGCCTGACTGATGTACTCTGTATGTCTCCTATAACCTCCACTTGCCCCTGTCTGACACCACTCTAGACCACTAACCCCTGTCTAACACCACACTAAACCACTAACCCGTGTCTAACACCACACCAGACCACTAACCCCTGTCTGACACCACACTAGACCACTAACCCGTGTCTGACACCACTCTAGACCACTAACCCCTGTCTAACACCACACTAGACCACTATCCCCTGTCTTATACCACACTAGACCACTAAACCCTGTCTGACACCAC